TCACAATGACAGTAAAGGATTCTGGAACAGGATTTGTCAGTCTTAAAGCACAATAAGATGCACACTGCTTCTCCTGAGTAAAGTGCATTGCCTCTAGCTGCAGGCTGAACTAACAGTTGGAGTGATCTAGGTGGAAGTCTGCTCTCCCAGCAAACTTGGTCTTTGCTGCCACCAGCACCTCATTTGGGATCCCTGCTAGTATCTGGACCAATTTTGTGTTTGAGAATAAGTAAAATGTTTCTTCCTTTGTATTGGGATGGGTGGGAAAGCTTATGTCCTAAATTTTCTACGCTGTGAGACAGCTATTGGTTCACCTTGCTCCCTTTGATAAATTTTCTGTTGTCCCTATTTTTTTTTTTTTTGGTGCTTATTTGGGATTTCTCTAATCAGACTGCATATATGTGAAACCTAATTGGGGTTAGATTTAATTATTTTCTCAGGAAGATCTTCAGTCTCAAGTAATTGAAGTTTATTCCAGTAAGTTCTGTAGCTATTGGCTGGGATGCAGGGACACCCATCCTCTTACTCTGCATAACTGGATATACTGAAGTCCATAACTGAATATACTGAACTCCAGCCTATCCAAGACACTTGACATTTGCAACCAGTCACAGTTCAAACTTTAATTCTATTTTCTAATAGTTCACATCACCCGTAAGGACACTGTATCCCTCATCATCTCTCTTCTCCCTCTACACTAACGATTACTTTAACGAGACTGCTAATAACAGCACCATCCTCATAATGTGCAGTGCTCAGTGGTCACTCTTGTCATCAGTGCTGAGTATGGGGTACTCTTCTGTCAGTCTCTTTCCTTGGCCTTCTTTCTTTTTCTTCAGCGAATATATCTCTGTCTTTATAAAATGATAAAAAAAAATTGTGTTGAAAGCCACTTTAAGCATTCAGGAAATGGTAGAGACTAATGCAAAATAAATGCCACCTGCATTGAACAAAGGTCAACAAACATTTTGCTATCTTTCCTTCATGTTTTAAGCAAACACATTATTGCATAGCCACGGTTCCTTGTTTACGTTTTGCCTACCAGCTCACAAACTCCCTGATCCCATAGAAATAATCATTTATTCCTGAGGTAGAGCTTTTTAGTCCTTCTCATCAGTGTTTTAATATAATTTATAGGGCCTGGAGAGATGGCTCAGTGGTTAAGAGCACTGGCTGCTTTTGCAGAGGACCTGGGTTGGGTTCCCAGCACCCACAAGGCAGCTAACAACCATCAGTAGTAACTCCAATTCCAGGTGATCTGACACACCCTCTTCTGGCCTCTACAAGCATTTCACACATGTGCTGCACTTACATATATGTAGGCAAAATACATATATACATAAAATAAAAATAAATTAAATACATATATTTCGTATGTGTGTCTATCCATATCATTATATAACATTATTTTGTAGATTTAAAAAGTAAATGCAGGTCGGGCATGGTGGCGCACGCCTGTAGTCCCAGCACTTTGGAGGCAGAGGCAGGCGGATCTCTGTGAGTTCAAGGCCAGCCTGGTCTACATAGTGAGTTCCAGGACAGCTGGGGCTATAGGGAGACCCTGTCTCAAAACAAAACAAGAAGAAAGTACATGCATGGTATCTTTTGGTATACAACATACTCCAACTTGATTTCTCCATTCACACTTAAGTTTTTCAATGGTCATATGTTCAATGATAAAGCACTTACTGTTCAAGCATGAGGACTTGAGTTTGAGTCCCTGGAACTTGTCTAAAGACAAGACAGATGTGGTAGCATGTGTTTGTAATCTCAGTACTCCTACAGAAAGATGGGAGGTGAAGATAGGAGCATCTTGAAAGTTTGTGGGCTAGCTAGCCTGGCATATGCATCAGCAAATAAGGGACTGTGTTTCAAACAAGGTGGAAGGTAAGGAATGACACCTGAGGTTGTCCGTTGACTTCCATTCGTGCACTGTGGCACATGTGCATGATGGCATGTGCCCATACACATTCACACGTGTATGTGCACATCACACACACACACACACACACACACCACGCACGCACAAATTTTTAAAAAGACTGCACTTAAAAAAAAAAGACTGCACTTGAGACTATATCACAAGTAATGTATCTGTTTTTTCATTGATAAGCTACATAGGTACTTTAAATTCCTTTCTCTTTAAACTTTTGCCTTATTACTTCTTAAAAATTTCATTATTAGTTCCTGATTCTGATTTCTTGCTGATTCAATTTTAGAAGATTTCTTCCCTTATTTGGCTCTGATGTCGAAGGAAGTGAATTAAAAGACATGGCAGTTTAAGGGTAAGACTGGAGCACAAAGTTTGAGTTCTGAAAGGATAATTGAAGATTTTCTAAGCTTTTAATAAAATGAGATTGGTAAAAATGCTGTGTCTTGGGAACAGCAAGAGTATGGGGCTTAGGGGTAAGAAGTTGAATTCCATCACCTCTTTTCTAGGTATATGCTTCTATGCTTCTAAAAACCTCCTCAACTCTCAAGTTCCTTATGGATAGCTTACAGAGCCATTCTGAGTGTCAAGTGAAATAATTCACATAAGGCTTATATTGCAGTGTCAGTCACATGGTATGCATCTTGGCTATTACTAATCGTTATTAGCTTAGTTGAAGTCATGCTTTTTGTTTTGATAATAGGATCTACAGGGATCTACTTCTGTCTCTCTTCTGTCTCTCTCTCTCTCTTTCTCTCTCTCTCTCTCTCTCTCTCTCTCTCTCTCTCTCTCTGTTAAGAAGAGATGGGAAGGAAATTGCTGGAACTCTACCTTACTTTGAGCTTATATGGAAGACCTTCTTACTCCTGTTTATAGACAAAAAGGGCTTTCTGATGTGTTGAGAATTCCATATTAATTTAATTAAATTCTATATTCTAGATTAATTAGCATCTTTAAAATATTATTAATAATGGGTTATAAGGATTATTCTGAAATGTAGTCTATAAGAATAACAAATAATTCTACTGATATTAAATACAATTTAAAATAATCTGTTCATATGTATGTTTTAACTTATTTGAGGCCTCATGAGGCCTCTTAAATCTCTTTAAATTACCTCCAAATAAGTTACTTTTAGGAAATACAAGTGTATATAAGCAGATGAAGGTAGTGAGAGGTCATCAGTTGGGGTGGGAGGATTTTGTGACTGCAGAGATTTAACATCTTCATTTTATTCTTTTTAAAAAAAATTTATTATTAGTTTTATTTTATGTGTATGAGTGTATTGTCTGCATGTATGTGAGTGCTCCCGTGTTGTGCAATGCCACGGAGATCAGAAGAGGGCGTCAGATTCCCCTGGAACTGAAATTAAGGAGTGATCGTAGCCACCATGTGGGTGCTGGGAATCGGACCTGGGTCCTCTGCAAGAGCAGTCAGTGCTCTTAACCGTTCAGCCATCTCTCTAGCCCCATTTGTGTGTGTGTGTGTGTGTGTGTGTGTGTGTGTGTGTTGTATAGTCAAACAGACATAGATGCTATTAAAAGAGACAAAGTTTTTTATTGTTAGTAAAATGCTAGGACTGAAGGTAGAATTGCTTCAGAGTGGCTTTTTCTTTTTAAGCTTTAAATAGTGTTAGTCAGATTATCTGTTTTGAACGATTCTGCTAAGACAAAATAGTTATTGTGATGATCATAGCCAGTGATGAAAGAAATGGAGCCAAAGAAAGATGCTGAAAATAAGGGAATTCACATAACAAGCTGTTCATATTGAAGAAAGTTTTTAAAAGATTTTAAAATGCCTTAATCCTGTGGATAGACTGAGGGGACTGTGTTGGTTAAGTTTCAAATTCTCATACAGCCAGTAATGACTGTGTGTGACTGCTCATAGGCAGTCAGTCTTGATACTTAGAGTATTCTGAATTTTTCATGTCTTTCACGGGAACAGAATAGAAAAAGTTTTGGGAAATACTGCATACCTCATTAGGGTTTCTAATCTGGCACCTAACACTAATGTTACTTATTCCCCTAATGACATCATTGTGTCACAATGTATGTAATAAAAACTAGGTATCAGGAGCTGGAGAGATAACTCAGCAGTTAAGGGCACTAGTTGCTCTTGCAGAGGACATGGGTTCGATTTCCAATACTCACATGGCAGCTAACAGCTTTCTGTAACTCCTGTTCCAGGGGAATTGGGTGCTCTATTCAGACCTCTGTGGCCATTACATGACATGCGTGCACTCACATACATGCAGGCAATACACTCATACACATAAAATAAATATAATAAATATTTTAAAGAACTAAGTATCGCTAATGTATTTTTACTATACTTGTACAATAATTATTGGATTATTAGTGGGCTTCAAGTAGAACTCACAGTAAGGCAATATAAAGACGATTTTCGTCAAGGGACACAAGATTATATAAACAGGAACTAAAACTTTGGAAGGATGCTCTGTTTACAATTTCTAGTCAAAGACTCAAACACGTTTCCTATACATTTTTCTAGGAAGAAATCTTTGATTTTGAAAGACAAATATGTTTTCTCTCATTTGTGGAATTCAAATTTATGTATATATATATATATATACACACACATATATGACATAAAAGTAGAAAAGAGAGGAAAAGGTCTAAAGGGAAGGGAAGGAAAAACAAGAGGTGGTAATTAAACATATGTGACATATGAAGGCAGAAGGCTAGACTAGGGGGAAGAAGAAGACCAACAAGAGGGGTTTGGAGGGTGTGGGAATGTGGTTGGGGGCATATAAAGAATGAATCTAATGATACATATATATGAAAGTGTCACAATGAAACTCACTATTTGTATACTAACTAAAAATTACTAATAAGTAGGAATCTTTTGTTTTAAATATTTAATTAGTGGGAATTTGCACAACATAGGACATCAGCAATAAAGGTACAGAAAGTTAATAGAGTTTTAAAAAACAGAACCTGGGAAGAAGGAAGAAGATTCTGGTCTAGATTAAAGTATCATGAATATCATGTTTTCACTGAAATTTTTTGTGTTACTTGAAATATATCAAGTAATTTTTTTCTTTTTACAGATATCTGCACCGTTTTAATAACTTCCTCCAGCTATAAACGTGAGCACTGATGCTTGATCTATTGTAAGTTGAAAGTCATGTATGAAACAGTTTTGCATTTTAACCTCTGTCTTTAATTAGAAGAAGACTAAATCTTAAATGGTTAGGAGCAGAAGAAACTTTTTGTTTTTATAAGCAAATGTTCCAACTTGGTTCAAAATTGATAGGCTATATAAGTCTCGCTTTGTTAATTTAAATTCCTAGAGCTCCTCTTGTGACACGGGCAGGTGCTCAATAAATCATCCAGTGTTACCGATGATGAATATAGGTCTAAAAGTATAGAGATTCATTTTTGCCCTGTATGGTTTGATATAAAATTTCCTGTTCCATTCTCCTTGAGGCCTGTATTTGTTGGTTCTACAGTGGTTTGCTACTTATGCAGCTTTTTAAAATTTAGTCCAAATATGATAGTTTTTATCTTCAAATAGAAACGAATTGGAGAAGTAATGAGGTACCATTTGGGATTGTTGGCAACTTTAAATGTTCAAAAAACTAACTCACAAAAGCAAGGGAACAGTAAGCCCTATCCTGCTGATTAGATGATTTAACCAGCAGTTGGTGTTGGCACCAAATTGTTAGCCAGACTGGTTTAAAAAAATTCTCAGGGCTGGTAACTCTGTCCTCTGTGGGCAAAAAGATCTGAGATGCGTTCCTCATTATACCTTTTGCTACACAGATCCTCTTAAGAAAAATCCCAATTTCCTAATTGTAAGGAAAATCCAAGAATAGGACATTGCAAGGAAAATCAAGAGTGGGGTACACACTAATGAGATGTAGTGCTGCTTTGAAAAGGAAACCCTTTGCAGTCTGGGGGGCAGCTAGAGTATCAAGTCTCATCATGACAGGATGGCTCATCTTGCCTGCATCTAAACACCCATGGTTCATATATTGATGTTTAGAGGGAAAGACACTAGAAAAAATGGATTGGAAAATTCACATTTACTGTCAGATCTTGTGCAGTGCAGGGTAGTACATACAGATCTTTCTCCAAATATTAAGCAGGGTGTGTATCTATTTTGGGTATCACATTATAAATAAGGCTCAGGCTTTTTTATGATTCAGAAAAAAGGCTTGCAGTGAGATTCATATTCAGTTCTACAGTGCTATAGCATTTAAGGCTGCTTTGATAGCTTCATAGACAATGCTAATTTCCTCGTGTGGCTTATTACCATTGTGTCTTAGTTTGTAGTGCATATAAGGATATGTGGTCAGAGAAAGTACTAGAATTTTGTAAATTCCAGTGTACTAGTAAGGATATTAATCACACACAGTATGATTCACAGCTTTCTCTATTTCTTGTTTCTTTTTTTTTTTTTTCTTTTTTGGTCTTTTTGAGACAGGGTCTCCCTGTAGCCCCAGCTGTCCTGGAACTCACTATGTAGACCAGGCTGGCCTTGAGCTCACAGAGATCGGCCTGTCTCTTCCTCCTGAGTGCTGGGACTACAAGTGTGCACCACCACGCGCAGCTTCTTGTTTCATTTTTAACTTATTTCACATAATCAACTTAAGTCCCCTTCACCCTTATAGGGGATGTTCTGTGCAGCAGTCTCTCTCTGGTTCCCATGAAAATTTTCTCTCCAGCTAGCAAAGGTTCAATAAACAGGTTAAAAGTCAGACCAATTTCTGGTTTTTTAACTTATGGAACTGGACTTTTCCCCTTCAGGTTGTTGTCTAGTAAAATCATATGTACTAATTTTAATTCATTATATGAGCATTTTCTCTTTTGCCAGCATAATCATTTCAGAATACTGTGAACTTATGTTGAGGAAGGGGGTTCCAAGAATCTTCAAGACGAGATTTTGGAATTTGGAAAACCAGAACCTCTTTTCCCGTTGCTGTGAGAAACCATTTGGTACTTTGATGAGATGCAGTAGCCAGCAAACAGCAGGTAAAACCTTACATCCTGGAAAAGATCAATGGGCAGAGCATTTGATTACACAAGAGCAGAAATGAACTTCAGGAGGGATGCTAAAGACCAGATGGTGATATAGGATCTGCCAAGAAGTTCAGAGGCCCTGGGATAGCCAAGCCAACAAATGGGCTGTTCTCTGCCTGCTACAGGAACAGCACAGGATGCTGAGTTCTGGTTATTTTGTAAAAGGCATGACTCCAGGATTAAGAAAAAGTGGGACTTTCAAATTAGCTGTTTCCTAGTTATGGCTGGATTGTGATTTCTGCACCTGTTGCTTTTTTGTTACTTGCCTATTGTCCAGTCTGCTTAGGTTCTCTTCAGATGTTATTTAATGTTCACTGATTGCCCTCCCTTATATGATTACTTACTGGGGGTCTTTTAAGGGCTAGGCCCTTTGTTCGGACTGAATCTATCATAGAGAACAAGATAAGGACATCATCTGCTCTCATCTAGTGGGGGAAAAAAGAGAACAAGTAGTTCTAATAATGCATAACACGGGATTTTTGGATAATTTTAAATATTTTATTTATTATTATGGGGCTGGAGGGAGAGATGGCTCAGCAGTCAAGAACACTGACTGTTCTTGCAGAAGACCCGGGTTCGAATCCCAGCACCCACATGATAGCTAACAACTGTCTGTAACTCCAGTTCCAGGGGATCTGACAACCTCCGTGGGCATTGCACGATTTTTATTTTATGTGTATGCATATATTGCCTGCATGTGGGTAAGTGCATCTGTGTCATGCAATGCCTGGGGAGGTCAGAAGAAGGCATTGGATTCCCTGGAACTGGAGTTACAGACTGTTGTTAGTCACTATGTGGGTGCTGGGAATCAAACCCAGGTCCTATGTAAGAGCAGCCAGTGCTTTTGAACTGCTGAGTCATCTCTCCAGCCCCATGACAAAGGCTTTAAAAGGAAAGA